CCTTTACAATAATTTGAATTAGCAATGACCAATAACGCAGATAATGCGCATGTGATCTACTAATGTGATCTAATAATGATGTTTAAGGGGAAAATGAAATAAATAAAAGATACTTAATAAAGCCAACGCGAGCACAAATCGTATTAACGCAGTACTAAAAATCCGCAAGAAACTGTGCGAAAACGCATGATCGCATCGGCTCGCTGGTACGTTCCAGCCCGGGTTTAATTTGTTTGTATTTTAATTTCTGACCCTCATCACGTCGGCCGGTGTTTGCAGCCCTCCAGATGGGCTGTTTACAGTTTCCATTAATATGATCCTAGTAGGGTTTCCACGGCCCGTACTGTTCTTCATGTGTGCGTATGTTAGACAAAAATATGTTTTGGATGAGGGGTCAAGTAACATTCTCACATTAAGAAGCAAAGTGAATTTCTTTATAAAAGTACGTGAGTTTCTTTCTTTAGCATCACCCCTCCCCGTCCCTACAGCAAGTAAGTACTGAACAAACACTACCCCTCCCCCACCCCCTTCCAACTAAACCCCCAACAAACTACCTCTCTACCCCACTAGCGGCAATGTTGCAATTGAAAACCAAACACCTTTCGTCCCTTCCGCTCTCCTTTTCCCCTTCCCCGCCCCTCAAATAAACCCCATAAAAACACGAACAAGCCATCTTCCCGCCACCGATCGTTTTCCAAAACACAAAAAACCGCCCGCAAAACGTAGCGCTATTGGGCAAAGTGCAGGTGCGGACACCATGCAAGGGTCGCGTCCCGGTCCCAAAGCCCACCTCCCACTCGCCGGCTGTTACTTGAACGGTGTTGAAATATTACTTGGATGGATTCGGGTTGTTTACTTTGGCCGCGAGCTGCGACATCCGAAAATCCAAGTAATTTCACTCAAAATGTGCATGTACTGCATTTACAGTCGCTGGTTACTTGGGTTTTCGAGACCAAAAAACACTCAGTTTTCTTTACTTGGAACAACTCTGGCTGTTTACTCATATCGTTGACGATTACTTGTACAGCTGAAAGGACGGTACCTCAACACCATGAGAGCACCTTCTGTCCAGAATTTAAGTCGTAGGGACAGTAACTTCGGGTCGGTTCCTGCGGGTAAACTCATCATCCTTCTGCTGGATACTGAGAATTAACTATAAAGTAAGTTGAGGCCATTGCTATATTCGTGTGGCTCTCAATGAATGCAAAGGCTGCAAGCAACATGTCTTCATGATCTCGCATGTTTCTGTATAAACAGTTTGCCTGAGTGGCTGCTGCTACGGGATTGAATGGGATGACGTACTGGTGTAATACCGGCGTTAATTTCTGATTGTACGTACCGGTCTTCCTGAGATATGTACTTTGTCCCTTCTACTTTTGGAACTTGCGCGGTAGGATGAAATTTGTTCTTAATTGCTCACTGGGATGCATTTGTACCTGTATGGTATAAGCAAATATACCTGGTCCCGATGCTCGGTTGGGTTGCAAGTCAGTCTGGTAGTCCTAAAAAGCTATATCTGGTCCTCGTAATACCTGTCCACGCACTGAACTTTTGCAAGAGCCTTTAGTCCTGCTCCGGTCATAATACAGTTCTGTATTACAGCTGAGAGTTCGACTACATCTCGGCGTGCGGATGTGTCGATTTCACAGCGATTTGCTGCTGCACTGACTGCAAACACTGCTAGCAGATCGGTACTGTGATAAGTTTGTTTGTCCTGGGGACAGAAACGGCTAAAATAAAACGAGACGACGGAGAAGATATGAAAGAACTGGCGAACTGTGAGTGGGACCATAATTGGTCAACCGGGTTGCTTTCAGTGATTCCATAAGCGCTGAAATCCGCGCTGTCCTCGTTTCAGATCTCTGCTGTATTTTTTTACTGCCTGTTATCGAGGCTTCGAGATCTCCGCGCTTAGCTAATGCGATGTTGGGGAAAGACTTTCCTTAGGAATGGGGACTCCTGAAGGAGATATCATGGCCTGCAACCTGGGAGTGGATCCCGACTGAAATTTTATATTTCTTTCATTTCTCCTTTTCTTTTTTTTTCAATTTCTTGACTAAAATATTTTATTGTAAAACGTTTTTAAGTTCATATTTTTAGAGCAAGAAAGAGGGGGGATTTTAGGTTCTCCTTTGCTTCTCCCATCCTGGGAGAACCCCGCCTCTGAACTTTGTAATCCTTGTCCTAATATCCTTATCTCCTTTACTCTTCTACGATCACTCAGGAAGCAACGCCTGCATCGTCTCAAAAAGCAACGCGCAGAGAAACGAAGTCACTAAAATAATGCCCGCAATGTTGAAGACCGGCAGTTCTGTCACAGTACATTCGAAGTGTCAAGATTACTAGCACAATCAGAAAAATAATTGGCCAACGCACCGACTTCCAGTGCGAAGATGCCTTTTTTAACGTTCTGTGCTGTGTAACAGCAGTACAAAACGCATATTGTCACGGGGTTGTCTGGGTGTCTGTGTGTGTGTGTGTCCGCAGCAACTTGTTCGCAACTTTCAACTCGGGAACCACAAAAGCTAGGAAGCTGAAAATTTAGGGGAACGTCCCCCACCTACCTGTGACCCCGCAAATTTAAATTCAGCTTCCCCGTACCCGTGGGTAACATGTATGGCCCCGTGAAAGTTTTTTGCGGGTAAATTAATATCTCGGGAACCACGGAGTCTAGGAGGCTGAAA